ATTTCAGAAAACACTTCATAGCCAATGCAAATTACAAACAGACTTTACAAGTTCTGAACGGTTGCACAATAAAGGGTCAAAATGGTCTACTACAGATTGAATATCTCTCACAAGTGTCCACATACACAACCTTTATTTGCAAGCCTAAAACGACTACCAAACCCAACTAAAATGGGGCTATTAAGCCTTCGACCGTCCCTCTACATGCTGTGCAAAGCATGAACAAACCAAAAGACATAGACATACATAAGCATTACATCAAATATCATGTTTAGAATTTTGTCCGTGATAGTATGGTTGGCTTTTATTTATTGCTCAAGAAATAATGGTTGCAGATCGATGACTTTGGTACAGTTGTAAGTGCTGAAGCTCTAAAACGCCCATTGGAAGATCTCACTAGTGCTGTCAGGTAAAATTATGAGTTCTTCTTTAATAATATGCTTTCTACAAGATTGATCAAGTTTTTTCTCTAGCTCATCTACCTGTTTGCTTCTTGTTATGCCAATGGCCTACTAAAGGAATAAGGCATGCATTCATTTCAAGTTTTTAGTTGTCTAGAACTCTAAATTTATATTAATGTGACAGGTGTTCATGAGTTGAAAAGCAACAATTCACATAGTAAATTTATGTTTTTATATTGATAACACATCTTGCGTTGGAAGTGCAAAAGATGTTAAAGCCTGATCCTCAAGTGTTTCTGAGTTGGTAGGCTTTTTTTATTGATAACACTTCTGGCAATGGAAGGACATGGCACAAAGTGTCTAGAGTCACAGCGGACATGGATAGGTACATATGCAATGATTATTACTATTACAAACACCATCTCCTTTATGAGCCCTATCGCATCCCTCTTCACAAATTTCACGATCACATGAGCCTCCTAAGTCAACTTTGCAGAAACCATTGAGTTGTTGTGCCTCGACCACGACATCAGCTGTTACAAAAGTAAATATATGATTAAGTTTGGCAACAGTTGCATTTTTATCTAGATATTATATGCAATCATACAGAAGTTGTTATATAGTTGATAATAGCGTGAGGTAATACTATCACGTGTTGTTAATCTTAGGATGAATGATATTTTATGCTGAATTCAGTCATCCCGTTAAGACACCCAAATATATATCGCACCTATTTTAGAAACCATGAATTAGAATAAGTTTTGTGGAGCTTGATGTGGTAGGAAAAAGCTAGGAGAACAAGCAATTTTATTCTTATTTTTGCACCTAGATTTGATGAAGCTAAATTTTAAGAGAAAAAAGTAGGTTTGTTGAAGCCAAAGAACCTGTACAAAAAAATTGTACTTTTTTTTTTCTTACCCAATGCATATTGATGATGAGTTGGTTTAATCTTTTACTATGACTTGGTATGGACTATTGAGAATTAATTAAAATTACCAACATGATTAACCAACCCATGAATACCTCAAAGAGTATGGTTGTTTAGATATTTATTTAGCATGAACTAAAGACTTTTGTTTAGACCATCAGATCAAATGCCCTCTTAATAACAATTCAAGAAAAGAAAATCATACTGAAATAAGAACTTTATTTTGACCAAGGTTTGTTGTACTGTACCATATCGGCATTTCGACCCGGGCTCAGTACGTTACCGGTGTACTGGGCGATACATCAGGGTGTACCGAATAATTTTTTATTTTTTTATATTGTAGCAGTGCTACAGTATAGTACTATAACACTGTAGCGGTACCGGGCGGTCCGCGTACCGGTAACCTGTCGGACCGGTATGTACCGCCCGGTACGGGTGGTACGCTTCGGTACGGCAGACCTTGATTTTGACCCCACTTTTCCCATAAAATATGGTTCAATCAAAATCTATAATACCTGACTTGTCGGAATTTTATGACTTTTTATTTGTCAAAGTTGACGTGCTAATGAGAGCAAATTGGAGAAGAAAAAACATGCATGTTCGAGCTTACCTGCAAAAAGGACGAGGAGAAGGATAACACACGCGATCTTCGCCCCCATGATAAAGAAGGTTAGAAGGTTCCTGTTCACCAAATTATACATTTGATGGTGACTACACTGTGAAGTTTATATAGAGGAGCTTCATCACCCGTATCAATTGAATTCACCCCCCTTGATAAATAAGATTTGGTAGTGGATGCCATATTTTCTAGCACATTAAGGGGGTTTATCAATACTATACAACTGAAACATTTATAATTTTCAGGTATCAAATCATGGAAACACCCAAGAATTCCATGGATCAATTAAACAAACTACAATGTATATATATATATATATATATATACCTATGCATGGTTCGTCATACCGACCCATACCATCTGGTATGGGCGATATGTACCGGTTCAATAGGGGATCGATATGCATACTATCTTGTATTGGGCGGTACTATAACATGACCCCATATCAGGCGATACGAGATATGTACCAGGTAGTAACAATCGAAATCCAATCGTTACCAACCTATACCGATCGGTAGCAATGAGATTTCAACCATTACAAATCAAGGGCTGAGATCGCTCTATTTCAAATGGTCAAATTGATCGTTTGAATCATAGTAAAGAGATTTTAAACCCTTTTCTCCCATCTCTTTTAACTCATATCACTCTCTCAATCTCTTTAGCTCTCTAAAACTCATTTTCACTCGCATCTCTCTCTCATTCTCATATTTTCACTCTCTTAAACTCAACAAGGCTACAATTTATGGATTGAATCAAATTTAAAAGGATTAAGAGGAAGATTCTCGGTTAGAATGTGGTGGAAGGTGCTGGACAAAATCAAGTCAAATTGCTCGAGGAACTAGAGACACCAAACTGTCATAATCATCCGCCCAACATGCAAAGGCAAAGGCAAAGTGGAAGGCAGTAGCATCAATTGCACCGTTAGAAAGAATCGAGTCAAGCGACGAAACACCTTCTGAATCGCATTTAACAACCTGCTCAGTCTAGAGAAATGACAACGACGTGAACAGTAGTGCCTTAACCGATGATGGCGACGACGTTGGGGAGTCGATGGTCCTATCTCCATAATTTGAGGGTGGTGCATGGACCGAGAAGCAGTATTTTACACATGCTACCTAAGATTCATATCATGGAACTCGACGAGGTATTGGTCAAGTTTATATACGGGAAAGGAAGGTAGTGGATGATTTTAAGCAGATACAACAAAACCTATACCATGTAGACATAAAACGAAGCTTATCGTATTCACAACCGTCGTATCATGGAGAATGCTCAACAACAATACGGTGATAGTTGGTCATACTTCTCCAAGTAGTAGTACAATGATCGATCTTATGATACAGAACAACAGATCAATGGCAAAAGTATAAGTTTTGGCTTTCTTCATGCTCCACACTAATACATGTCATAATCGTACTTGTCTTAGGCGCCACCTTAAACACGTGTGATTCATGACGATCAGACTACGACCATCACTACATTGATGCACCAATGACATCGATGTATCAGTATATTATGTCGTGGGATCAATTTCAGGATTGGGTCCGATAAACATATCAAATTGATATACAGTTACATAGGATCGAGAACCTCGATCCACTGCTCGTGGAGTCTCGCTGTTGTTTCTTTGCGGTAGAATCAAATATATATTCATCGATCGATTACTTGATTCATTTGAATCTTAAAGTTTAAGTTATTAAAAAAAATAAAAATTTAAATTATTTTTTTGTAAATAATTTAGTATTAATAAATAAAAGGGTCTTCCGGAACATATCATAAAGCTATTTCTCAAAACCTATAAAAGATAGGCCACTACTCTTTTCTAATTTAGATTATTTTTACAAAAATTATACTAAAATTATATTTATTTCTAATGATGAAAACCCTAATCTAATTTTTTTTAATATTTTTCAGGTATTTTTTGAGATAGTTTTGATGGTTTTTGGGTGTACTATTGTTATGCCCTTACGTACCATCGATACACTTTAGTACATATCTTATTGATGTTTGGTCGGTACACTGGTACAGACTGAGATTGTAAACCTTATATATATATATATATGTATACATATATATATATGTATACATATGTATACATGTATATGTATGTATATGTATATGTATATATATATGTATATGTATTTATATATATGTATACTTATATATACACATACATATACATATGTATGTGTATATATGACTTCAGTACAGTGAACCTAATGGATGCATCTAGAAAGATTCGTATCAATAGATTTATCTTTATATATATGCATATATATATATATATATATATTTATATATGTATATGTATATATGACTTCGGTACAATGAACCTAGTTGATGCATCTAGAAAGATTCGTATATATATATATATATATATATACACACACATCATGACTTCGGTACAGTGAACCATAGTGGATGCATCTTGAAAGATTCATATCAATAGATTCATCTTTGTCGAAATCCGACCGTTACCGATTTGTACCAATCAGTAATAGTCGGATTTTGACCGTTGCGGATAAGGGTTGATATCGCCCTATTTCAAACAGTCAAATTGACCATTTGAATCATAGAAAAGAGATTTTAAACCCTTTCCTCCCTCCTCTTTCAACTCATATTACTCAATCTCTTTAGCGCTCTAAAAGATATGTCACCACTCTTTCCTAATTTAGATTATTTTTGCTAAAATTATAGTAAATTTATATTATTTTTAACTTAAAAATCATAATTAAATTATAATTATAATTATTATTAACTATTTTTGGAGCTATTTTTGATGGTTTTGGGTGTACTGTCGGTTTGCCATTGTGTAACATCGATACGTCTTGGTACGTACCGTATGTCGATACACTAGTACAGTCCAAGATTGCATATGTTGTATATATGTATATATATATGTATATACATATATGTATGTATATACATATCCATATATGTATGTATATATATGCATATATATATACGACTTCGGTACAGTGAACCTAGTGGATGCATGTGAAAAGATTTGTATCAATAAATTCATCTTTGTCGAAATCTGATCGTTACCAACTTGTGTTGATAAGTAATAGACAAGTTTCAAATGTTACAAATAAGGGCTGAGATCGTCCTATTTCAAACGGTCAATTTATAGGAAAGGGATTTTAAACCCTTTTCTCCCCCCTCTTTTAACTCATATCACTCTCTCAATCTCTTCAGCTCTCTAAAACTCATTTTTACTCGCATCTCTCTCTCAATCTCACATTTTCATTCTCCTACACTCAACAAGGCTACGATTTATGGATTGGATTAAATTTGGGATGATTAAGAAGAAGATCCCTCTCGGTTAGAATGTGGTGAAAAGAGCCGGACAATATCAAGTCAAATTGCTCTAGAAATTAGAGACACCCAACTGTCACAATCGTTCCCCCGACATGCAACAACAAAGGTAAAGGGGAAGACAGTAGCATTAATCGCACCGTTGGAAAGAATCGAGTCGAGTGACGAAACACCTTCTCAATTATATTTAACAACCAGCTCAGACCAGAGATATGGCAGCGACGTGGGCAGTAGTGTCTTAACCAATGATGGCGACGACCTCGAGGAGTCGATAGTCTAATCTATATAATTTGAGGGTGGTGCATGGACCGCAAAATTGTATTTTACATGCCGTCTAAGATTTAAATCATCGAATTTGACAAGATATTGATTAAGTTTATACATGGAAGGGGGAGAGAAAGGCAGTGGATGATTTTGAGTAGATGCGACAGAACTTACACTATGTAGACACAAAGCGAAAATTATCATATTCATAATCGTCGTATCATGGAGAATCTTTTGACCAGCAACAGTATGGTGATGGTCATGCTTCACCGAGTAATTGTACGTTGTTCGATCTTATGATACAAAACAACAAATCAATAGCAAAAGTAGAAGTTTTGACATTCTTCATGCTCCGCACTAATACATGTCATAATCGTACTTGCCTCTAGAGCCACCTCACACACGTGTGATTCATGACGATCAGACTACGACCATCACTATATTGATGCACCAATGGCATATGGTGTATTATTATATTATGTCGTGAGATCAATTTTAGGATTGGGTCTAACAAATATATCAAATTGATATACAGATACATAGGATCGAGGACCTTGGTCCATTTCCTATGGAGTCTCATTTTTACTTGCATCTCTCTCTCATTCTCACATTTTCATTCTCCTACACTCAACAAGGCTACGATTTATGGGTTGGATTAAATTTGGGATGATTAAGAAGAAGATCCCTCTCGGTTAGAATGTGGCGAAAAGCGTCGGACAACATCGAGTCAAATTGCTTTAGAAATTAGAGACACCCAACTGTCACAATCGTTCCCCCGACATGCAATGACAAAGGTAAAGGGGAAAGCAGTAGCATCAATCGCACCGTTGGAAAGAATCGAGTCGAGTGACGAAACACCTTCTCAATTATATTTAACAACCAGCTCAGACCAGAGATATGGCAACGACGTGGGCAATAGTGTCTTAACCAATGATGGCGACGACCTCGGGGAGTCGATAGTCTAATCTATATAATTTGAGGGTGGTGCATGGATCGCAAAACCGTATTTTACATGTCGTCTAAGATTTAAATCATCGAATTTGACAAGATATTGATTAAGTTTATACATGGAAGGGGGAGAGAAAGACAGTGGATGATTTTGAGCAGATGCGACAGAACTTACACTATGCAGACACAAAGCGAAAATTATCATATTCATAATCGTCGTATCATGGAGAATCGTTTGACCAGCAACAGTATGGTGATGGTCATGCTTCACCGAGCAATTGTACGTTGTTCGATCTTATGATACAAAACAACAAATCAATAGCAAAAGTAGAAGTTTTGACATTCTTCATGCTCCGCACTAATACATGTCATAATCGTACTTGCCTCTGGAGCCACCTCACACACGTGTGATTCATGACGATCAAACTACGACCATCACTATATTGATGCACCAATGACATACGGTGTATTAGTATATTATGTCGTGAGATCAATTTTAGGATTGGGTCTAACAAATATATCAAATTGATATACAGATACATAGGATCGAGGACCTTGGTCCATTTCCTATGGAGTCTCATTTTTACTCGCATCTCTCTCTCATTCTCACATTTTCATTCTCCTACACTCAACAAGGCTACGATTTATGGATTGGATTAAATTTGGGATGATTAAGAAGAAGATCCCTCTCGATTAGAATGTGGCGAAAAGAGTCGGACAACATCGAGTCAAATTACTCTAGAAATTAGAGACACCCAACTGTCACAATCGTTCCCCCGACATACAACGACAAAGGTAAAGGGGAAGGCAGTGGCATCAATCGCACCGTTGGAAAGAATCGAGTCGAGTGACGAAACACCTTCTCAATTATATTTAACAACCAGCTCAGTCCAGAGATATAGCAGCGACGTGGGCAGTAGTGTCTTAACCAATGATGGCGACGACCTCGGGGAGTCGATAGTCTAATCTACATAATTTGAGGGTGGTGCATGGACCGCAAAACAGTATTTTACGTGCCGTCTAAGATTTAAATCATCGAATTCGACAAGATATTGATTAAGTTTATACATGGAAGGGGGAGAGGAAGGCAGTGGATGATTTTGAGCAGATGCGACAGAACTTACACTATGCAGACACAAAGCGAAACTTATTATATTAATAGTCGTCGTATCATGGAGAATATTTTGACCAACAACAGTATGGTGATGGTCATGCTTCACCGAGCAATTGTACGTTGTTCGATCTTATGATACAAAACAACAAATCAATAGCAAAAGTAGAAGTTTTGACATTCTTCATACTCCGCACTAATACATGTCATAATCGTACTTGCCTCAGGAGCCACCTCAGACATGTGTGATTCATGACGATCAGACTACGACCATCACTATATTGATGCACCAATGGCATACGGTGTATTAGTATATTATGTCGTGAGATCAATTTTAGGATTGGGTCTAACAAATATATCAAATTGATATACAAATACATAGGATCGAATACCTTGGTCCATTTCCTGTGGAGTCTCATTTTCTTCTCTTGTGGTAGAACT